TGACTTAGCTTTCAAGAAAAAAAAAAAAGAATTCTATTCTAAGTGCCAGATGCTCTGGGGGGACAAATTGGCTTTCTGTCCGATTCTTATAATACTTGTCTTGCATATGGTGCTTTTGACTATTTTCGTCTTTAAAATCCTCTTGGCCGCCATAGCCCCATCTCTCCCAGGTTTCCTCTTCCCATCTTTTCCCTGCTTTTCCTCTATTTATTGCTTAAATGTTCTGTCACACAATTTTTCTCCATGTAGTAAACATTCTCCCTGTGCACTCCCATATTATATATACTGATAACTAGGTATTCTGGGAGTTTGATAGTGGAGGCCCCTGTCTGACAGTTGGAATCCACCATCTGCTCCCAGGAAGAAAAATGTGCAATTTCCTCCCATGTGATTTACAGTCTTGGAAAATTAACTATGAATCAGCCAAGAGTTGACTTTTGTTTCTTTACTTTTACTGACAATTATGGGCTTTGTTAAGGAAGTTAACAGGTTACAACTTAGGTTGGCAACAGGATGCAATTTTTTCATCAAGACAGCTTTTCTGTCTTCTACCTTGTGGCTTTAGGCCAGTGTTACAAAACTCTTTTAGGTCTGCCAATTAAGGTTCTCCAGTAAGGTTGGTTGATGGTCCCGGATCTGGCTCCATTGGGGCCAGATAAGCTCTGTCTCACATCAGATGTGGCTCAACCTGCTAGGGCTCTTCTGTAGGTCTTATCTGAGATGGCACAGAAATATCTGGTCCCAAAGGACCCGTGCTCCATTCTCTACCTCTTCGTTCTTGCTAGTAGTGAGATTCTTCGAGTTAACAGTTTCATCTATTCTGTCTCTTTAGCCAATACTCCACTTACAGCCTACCAGACATCTCGACTTAGAGGTCTTCTAGATGCCTCAATCATTAAAAAACAAAACAAAACAAACAACCATGCTAAAAAAGAAAAAATCAAATAGAATTTCATATTTCCCTTTGTTTCCTGCCCTTCAACCTCTGCTGCATTCCCCAGTTTGGAGAATGGCAATACCTTTCTGCTCAGGCAGATGATTGTTTGTTTTTTTTTTATTTTGTTTTTTTACATTTTTTAAAATTTAGTTTGTTTATTTTTCATTTCAATGA